GTTTATTACCGCGGTGTTTGAGACAACGATACGTTGCTGGTTTCCTTTGTGTTTTGAATTGTTAATCTTCTCTGACATTCAAACCGTTATTTCTTTTTCAGTACATCTGTGAACGTCATTTCCAGAAGATCTCAGGAAAATCCCTGTTTACTGGACTGCGATCTATCACTCATTTCGGACGACCCGACTTCCTGTCTTTCCTGGAGTCCCTCGCCACTACCATTCACCCAGAGGTAAGCTCTTTTTAAGGTTACAGAACACCTTTGAGTGTTAATTTTGCCTAAAATTTTTTTATTGGTTTCAATGAAAGCATTAGACTGGTTCTACTATCTGACCAAGTTTGAACGAAAAATGTTGAAAACTCGCAGAGTTATTTTATAAAATACATTTCGCTGCAATAAGAAAAACATTGAAAATGTAATATTCAAATTCAATTTTCTCACGAAAAATTTTACGGTAGTTACTGATTTTCAAACGAGTTATGCTCCTGCGGGTTTTAACCAATTTTTCTCAAATTTTCACAGGGCATAGCTAAATACGTCAGTTTCAAAATTGTGTTCGGTTTTTTTTTAATTTTGGATATTTTAAAAATAAAGAGCAATTCACTCAAACAATTCAAAAATATATTGCAGTCGTCAAAGAAATTGCCATATCAGCGGAATGACGAAATAAACAAAAATTTCCGAACACAATTTTTTAGAACAACTATTTTACTGTATAAAAATGATATTTTCATAAATATAACTTAAAACCAGCCGGAGCACAACTCAAAAGCGTAAAGGTACCGCGATTTAAGATTTTCCTGAATAATTCTTACATTATTTTATTGCTTGTTAATTTTACGACATTACCATATTTTGCATGCACTGGAGAACATTTGGTGAAAATTTGATGAAAATCGGACTGATATTGAGCGCGCAGTAGCGATTTTCCGCAAAAAGCCAAAAAAGGGTGTCCTATAACCTTAATTATTGTATCTTGACAGATGATCAGTCTTTACACACGCAAAAATCTCGCATCTTGCAGGGACCCCGGAACAGGGGGGCCATGTCCTCCCCCCACTTTTTTGGTGGATAATAAGAAATTACCGGATAAAATCAAGCCTGCCTGCGTGGAATAGCTCCCGTGCTATCCTGCCCCCCCCCCTCCCCACACACACACACTTCTAAACAAGCTCCGCGGTCCATGTTTTGTGGAGATTGTTACAAGTCTGCAAACAAGTTGTTACAAATCTGTTCAAACTGCCGACAAGTTGTGTTCGCACTGCTTGTTCCCAGTTGTTGTGATAAGTTGTAACAAGCTTGATGGCATTAACAGACTTGTTACACGGTTGTCCTAACAAGTCTGATACAATCATGATCTAACAAGAATGTTACAAGGTTGATGACACAAGGTCGTAACAATACTGTTATATCATGACTGTATCGGACTAGTTGGAACAACCTTGCAACAAGTCTGATAATATCAACAAGGTTGTTACAAGTTGTTAACAGCTTGTTCCAAACTTGTTGACAACTTGGGACAAGCAGTGCGAAGACAACTTGTTGACGGCTTGTTGGCAGACTTGCTACACGCGTAAAATTCTCGCATCTTGTACCAAGTCCGATACATTCATGATATAACAATGTTGTTACAACCTTGTGTCGTCAACCTTGTAACATTCTTGTTATATCATGATTGTATCGGACTTGTTAGAACAACCTTGTAACAAGTCTGATAATGCCATCAAGCTTGGTGCAAGTTGTTAACAGCTTGTTCCAAACTTGTTACAACAACTGGGAACAAGCAGTGCGAACACAACTTGTTGACAGCTTGTGAACAGATTTGTAACAACTTGTGCCTTTATACTTCTGTAGCACACACGTAAAAACTCACAAGTTGTAGCAAAACCTGCAGCAGACATGTAGTAATGTTGTTCCAACAACTTGTCAACAGGATGTGTTCGCACTGCTTGTTCCCAGCTGTTGACAAGTTGTCTACGGCTTGTTGACAACTTGCTACAAGGTTGTTGAGCTCAACAGACTCGTTACAAGTTGTTCCAACGAATTGAAAGATATTGTCCGCAATTCATTCCAGAATGCTGTGAGTGACAACCTTGTAGCAACTTGATGAAATAACGGCATTGTTACAACTTGTTTGACAAGCTTGCTACAAGCCTGTTGGGAACACATCTTGTTGACAAGTTGTGAGATTTTTACGTATGTTTAGCATAGACATATCGCTATTCTAGCCAGTTCATCTTGATAGCTCGGCTTGTGTTTAATGAAAGATGCCTGTATCCTAAAATATTCTCTTATCCATTCCCGCAGGCGTCTAAGATTGGTGTGTTCAGTTGCGGACCACCCGCAATGACGCGAGGTGTGGAAATCGCATGTGCGGAACTGAACAAGACGGACGGAGCGGCTTTCATTCATCATTACGAGAATTTCTAAGCATTAAATATACACGAACTGCATGCCTATAAATGTATATGTTTGCCTTTCGACTCGCATAAATATGTCTTACACTTGGGAGAGCACATAGCCAACATTAACATTGAATATTATGTATATTATGTATGTCAATCCAGTCTTGGCCTTTCGTGTTCAAGATCTTCAACTTTTTCTATTTTTGTTCTATATATTTTTTTAAATTGTCGGCTGGTTCTGGCTTTTATACAGTCATACTCTTCTTAAAATATACGAACATATTGTTAAGCGTTTAGTGTTAAGTATTTTGGAAACAATAAAACTATTCAAAGATATTGCCAGTGTCAAATGTATGATCATTATAATGAAGTAGTACCCAGCTAACTTAGTCTTTTCGGGCGGATCTAACCTCATCTGCAAGGAGGGGTGCAGGTTTTCCATGGGGTGGTGCATGAGGGAGCCTTACTGTTCACTCTCCTCTGCAGCCTGCAACGCTACTATCCCAACATTGCCATTATTTGAGATGGCCGAATCTGCATGTTTGCCGTTCTGTTACGTTTCACATTATCTTTGGTTTATAAAATTTATATCGGCTTTTTATTACGTATGCCTGACTGGACAGTTGCTGTAGCACAGTATAGTAAATTTGCTTGTAAAAGGACAGTATACTTGAAAATATGACCGTATAACAACCTCGACATATTTACGTATTTAACCATGATATGATATTTAACTAAAGCATTCTGTATTTTTGAGTATTTTTTTTCATGAGCTCACAGATCTATTTAATCGACACGATATACTACGATAAATAAATAATAAATACTACGATATTTAACAAAAGCATTCTGAGTATTTTCTCGTGAGCTCACAAATCAATTAAATCGTTTCAAGAAATCGACACGCGCTAACAGTAGAAGTTCCGCTAATCACTATTCGAAAATCAGAAAATGTATGATCAGGCAGATCGAGTGAGAAGGACATGAGAAACAATTTCTCTTAGAAGCAAGAAGATATATGTGTTTAATTGTCAATTAATATACGTCCAGTATCGCACGTCATATATTGACTTGGTTAATTTTGTGCCTGCTTAGTACTTATTGATGTTTGCAAAACATTTTCAAACTTTCAAACCGTGTGGTGTGAAATTAAAAATGGTCTCATGTTAGACAAAAATTATCTCGCGCACATGCATATTAAAAGTATCCATGTTGTATTTCCCGGTAGGCGGTTCTAACTCAACCCGGAAAAGCAAGACAAACATTTATTAATTCCTCATCTAATAATGTTCATCCAAAATAAACGAACGTTTTGTGGATTCGCTAGCCATTAATTCCTCAAAATCCTCCTATTGAATATTTGATAGTGAGCTATCCTTGTTCAAAGGTGGATTAGCGGTAAACCTCGGCTTGAAATATGTCTTTTATTTATTTTGTTTTTATAATTTACGATTAATTTACATGTTCTCTGTAATTTCAAGAACTCGTATTTTTAATAAATACGTTTTAATATACAGCATATACTTGTTTAAGCAAGTTATTATTGTCAATGTAACAACCGTCGCTCTATAAAAAAAGATAGAAAAAAAACTTGCCAACCAAGTTTTGGTTTTGGGAAGATATTCCTTTTTGCAAAGACAAAATGAAATGTGGCATAAAATTCCTTGCCTTAAAATTTCTGTGCGTGTCCATGTTGCCTTTCTCTGTCAAGTTGGAAGAATTTTGTGAAACTGGAGAAGTCATTTACAGACAGCAACCGTTTCGTTTGCTTTGTACAGGTGAGAATTTAAGATCTAGCCAAACTAGAAAAATAAATTTCCAGCCTATGTTTCTCGAAGGTTGACAAACCAGTTTCCTAGAAATGTTTCCAGTACACGCGTAAAAACGCACAAGTTGTAACAAACCTGCAGCAGATCTGACTTGTAGCAATGCTGTTCCAACAACTTGTCAACAGGATGTTTTCGCCAACGGCTTGTTGACAACTTGCTACAAGGTTTTCGAACTCGACAGACCTGTTACAAGTTATTCCAACAACTTGTCATCGTCCTGCAATTCAACAATTTGTCAACAAGTTGTGCGTGACAACCTTGTAGCAACTTGATAAAATAACAGCATTTGTTACAACTTGTTGCGAACACATCTTGTTGAGAAGTTGTGAGATATTTACGTGTGAATGTGGACAAACCAGGAAACACTGTTTCCCAGCCTTGCATTCCGCTGCTGGGCCAGCCAGAGCGCCATACTGAACTATTTTCTCCAATATTTAGATGTATGCCGCTTAATCATGAGCCTCGACTTTCTAGACGAGTGTGCTCATTATTGTTTAAAAGATGTATTTTGTGCTGGATACAACTTCAAGGCAAAACAAAACAAGAAGCCAAATTGCCAGTTAACTCACAAGCTTGATCACGAATTTCATTCGTGCGACGAAGAAGACAAAGGCTGGAGTTTTTTTCATGGCGTTGGACCACGAAAGGTAGGACACTTTGAGAACCTTTCAAGTCTCTTCGAGTTTAACATGGTTAGATCATACAGAGGTAGTACATGTTCTTGAATTTAGGTTACCTTAAAGTGATCTGAT